AACGGTAAAGAAGAGAAACAATCAGAGAGTGAGAGAGAACGTAAGCAAAGAAGAGAGACCTAGAGAGAGAGAGAGAAAGAGAAAGAGAGAGAGAAAGAGAGAACAAAAACGAGAGACCTAGAGAGAGAGAAAAAAAAATAAATTAAAAGATTTAGCTTTGATTCCATTTGTTACAATGAATATTCGTTGCTGTGACATACTATGTCTGATTTATTTTGCTTCTAAATCTCCCCCTGTGTAAGGAATGGCCGGGGTGACCATCCACTGGCAGCGCACGGGATTGAACGCAGGTCAGCAAGATTGCTAGACCAACACGCTAACCACTGCACAGCACAGCACGCACACACACACACACACACACACACAGTAGAAAGAAAACAAAGAGATAGAAGGGGTAGAAAGCAAAGAAGAGAGAGCTAGAGAGAGAGAGAGAGAGAGAAGAGAAAGCAAAGAGAGAGAGAGAATATATGTGCGAATATATGTTTGTGTGTATGGATGGGTAAGTAACAGCAAAGAAGAACAATAAGAGAGTGAGAGAGAGCTGAGAGAAAACAAAGAGAGAGAGAGAGAGAGAGGAGAGAATAGAAAGAAAACAAAGAGAGAGAGGGGGTAGAAAGCAAGCAAAGAAGAGAGAGCTAGAGAGAGAGAGAGGAGAGAAAACAAAGAGAGAGAGAGAGGGAGAGAAACAAAAAGAGAGAGAGAGAGGTGGGTTAGAAAGAAAGAAGAGAGAGCCAGAGAGGGAGAGAGAGAAAGAGTAGAAAACAAAGAAGAGAGAGAGAGAGAAAGGCGAGATAAAACAAAGAAGATAAAGCTAGAAAGAGAGCGAGGAAGAGAAAACAAAAAAGAGAGAGAGAAAGCGAGAGAATCAAACAGACACACAAACAAACAGACAGAGAGGAAGAAAGAAAACAAAACAAAAGAGAAGAAAGAGAACCAACCAGAAAAGAAAAGAGAGAAAGAGAACCAACCAGAAAAGGAAAGAGAGAAAGAGTAGAAAATGGAAATGATATCACATACGAAAGAGAAAGGGTTAACCATCCCCTGTAACCTCGCCTGGAGCACAGGAGTCGCACTGAAAGCCACTGCGACCTTACTTATGTGTAGCTCGTTGAGGTTTTCTCTCTCTCTCTCTCTCTCTCTCTCTCTCTTTCTATTCTTTTTCTTTTTCTTTTTTCTCTGTCTCTGTCTCTCTCTCTCTCTTCTCTTTTCTTTCTCTTCTTCTCTCTCTGTTCTCTCTCTCTCTGTTTCTCCCTCGTCTCATCTCATCTCCTCTCTCTCGCTCTCTCTCTTCTCTGCTCCGGTCTCTCCTCTCCATACTCTCATCTCGATCATGGTCTCTACTCTCTCTCTCTTCTCTCTCTCTCGTCTCTCTCTCGTCTCTTTCTTTTTCTTTGTCCTCTTCTCTGTCTCTGTCTCTCTCTGTCCTCTGTCTGTCTGTCTGTTAGTACTGTCTGTCTGTCTCTGTCTCTCTCCTCTATTCTCTCTCTCTCTCTCTTCTGTCGTCGTCTGTCTCCATCCTCTCTCTCCTTCTTCTCTCTTCTCCTCCTCCTCTCAGTCTCTCTCTCTCTCATCTCTCGCTCTCTCTCTCTCTATATATATATATATATATATATATATATATATATATATATATATAATATATATATATCATTTCCGTTCTTTATTACTCTCCTTCGTTGTCGTGGTTATTGCTTCCTCTTCGTTGTGCATAAAAGGATATATATGTTGAAAGTAGTAATGCCACAAATTGACGTTTTTTTTATTTTTAAGGTATGATATTTTTATTCCCTCTTTTAATTCTTTATTACTATCATTGATATATATATTTTTTATGTTATCAATGAGCGTTATTTACATTTACTTTTATTGTATCACATCTTTATCATGCTGTATAGCATATCCGATAGATTTTCATCATCACAAAATATATATAATTTTCACTATGTTACAGTCTTGATAACAAAAAATATATATATATTTTTTCGTTCTAGTAAATACATATATAACGATTTCAAGTTTTATTTACGCAAATAACTCACCTGGACGCACCCATTACACATTTATAAACTACTCCTATTTATATATTAATGTAAAAAAAAAATGATATATCAGAATTTTATAAGATATTCACACCGACTCCACTTGATGTCCCAGCCACTCTAAGAAAGTGGTATTTTGGCGTCTGAGAAGTTTCCGGAACACTCTTTGACCTCGCAGGGTTTTCAGGTATACCCTTTGACCTCGCTTCATTCCCCGAGGCTCTCTTCCTCCTCCTCCTCTTCTCTTCTTCTGAATTTTCTTTTTTCTTCTTCTTCCTTTTTTTTTAGTCTTCATCTTCTTATTTTTCTCTTCATCTTCTTTTTTGCTTTTTCCTTCTCGTTACTTTTATTATTCTTTTTCCTCTTCCTTCCTGCTTCTTCTTCTTCTTTCAGTTTCTTCTTCTTGTTTCTTTTTTTTTTGTCTTCTTCTCCTTTTTATTTTTTTTCTTCTTCTTTCTTACGCCTTCTTCTTCTTCTTAGTCTTCTTTCTCCTCTTCTTCCCCTTTTCCTCCTCTTTCTTATCTTTCCCTTTTCTTCGAACCTACGCATCCTAGCATACCCCTCCACCTCCTCACTACACCATCCCCGCGTCTCCCATTTCCCCCTCCTAACACCAAATATACCCTCCTCCTTCCTCCTCTCCATCCGCTCGGGTTAACCATCCTCCCCCTCCTACTCTCCTCCTCTTCCTTATCCGTCCTCGACGCTCTTCATCCTCCCTCTTTCGGCTCCTACTCCTTCTTCCTCCTCCTTCTCCTCTTTCCCTCTTCTCTACTTCTTGCTTCCCTTCTCCTCTTCCTCATTTTCCTCATTGACAAGAAGTCAATAATACTGTTGTTTGTTTTTTGTTTCTCAGTTTTTGTTTGCTGTTGTAAAGTTTATTCATTTGTGTTAATGATATTACCGTCTACTTATTATTGTGATTAATCATAATTATTTTTTTATCATAATTATTTTTTACAAATCATTATTCACTCATTTCTTGATTATTATTAGCATCAGTAGCCAGTAGAAGTGGTATCATTGTAGGAACATTATTGAATTGTTATTAAACTTATCATCATCGTTGTTTTGTTGTCATTTTTATGCTGGCAATTTAATACTGTTATCATTAACATTATTATATCATTATTTTGGTTATTGCTAGTATATCATCATCATAAGCTCATTATTATTATCATCATTAGAAGCGGGGCACGAGAACAAAGAATGCACGCACACACAACACACACACACACAACCGCGCGATACACGCAGCATACATACACGCACACACACACAGCACACATACACGTACACACACACGCACGCGCGCCGACAAATTATTTTACGGTCGGCATTAGTTTTTAAATTTAAAAATGCATATTTTCCTCGCATACAGAAATGGTCAAGCAGTGTGCCACGCAACGATTTTTCCATTAACAAGTTCTTGACAGTGTAAAATATATTGTCATAATCTGGTCGATTTTGTTGTATTTAGCTCTCTGTAATTAACACAATTATTTGTCTTCCACTGCACTCTTTCTTACTCTTTCCTTTCTTTCTTTTCCTTTTGTTAGAGTTTGTTTTCTAATTTTCTCCATTTCAGATATGACAATCACGCATCCAGCAACTGCTACTATTTTGTTTTTTGTTCGTCTTCCAAGTTATATCCAAATTTTGGACTTTGATAAATGTTTCATTAGGGTCTGATTAAGAAGTGAACAATTGTATCAAAGTTCGATGGAATCGAAGGTAGTAACTTGGTAAATGGATAAAGGTCTGATTGACTTGTGAAAAAGTATTGGTGTTGATGTCATAGTTCAATTTGGTTTCTGTTTTCTTCATCTTCTGGCTCTGGTCTCTGTCTATCTTCTATTTATCTCTCCTCACAGTCCCTACCGTTCCTTCGTTCCGCCTCTCTCTCTGCTCTCTCCGCTTCTGCTGTCTATCTCCTCTCTCTCTTCTCTCTCTCTCATCTTCGATCTCTTCTCCGCTCCCTACCTCCCGTCTCTCTCTCTCTCTCTCTCATCTCTCTCTCTCTCTCATCTCCTCGTCTCTCTCTCTCCTCCTCCTTCTCTCTCTCTCTCTCATCTCTCTCTCTCTCTCTATATCTCTCTCTCTCTCCTATATATATATATACTATATATATATATATATATATATATATATTATTTTTATTAATGAGATGATAATGCTTGGTAATGGTGTCTTTATTGATGATGTTATCAATTTTTGTTTGCTATAAATGATCAGCCCAACTTCAAAATGAACATTCGTAAACTGTGACGCTGAATTATCCGCTTATTGGATCTCGCCTGCGAAAATTTTATTGTTTTAAAATAATTGAAAACCCGATGGCTTTTATGGAAATTGCCGAAATAGGTCAACTTGATTAGTATTTTATGGCAAACCAAATTACACATTTTACAGCGCGAAACGAAAAAAATATGGAAGCGTAAAATTCTATTGTCCATTCCTACTGAAAAATGGCAGCGGAATGGTTCACATACGACCAAAAAAATGCATGGGTTTGTAGATACAAATGGTCTATGGTATATGTAGTATATTTTCTTGATCTATGTCTGTTTTTTTTTTTATTCTGGGTGGACTATGCTAACCACAGGACATATAGAATGCTTTAAGATATGTTATCATAATCTAATAATTCTATTATATAATCCAGATGGTATATTTATTGTACGTTAAATTAGATATTTCTGTGATAAAATTTCTAATAATTATTAGTGTTAATGATTTGGTATTTTGAGAAGAGTGTTAATCAAAGAGGAAGAAGATGCGGGAAAAAAAAAAACAATAAAGGAGAAGAAAAAGAAGAAGAAAAGAAGATGCGGAGAAAATAGGAGGAATAAATAAAATATAAGTGAAAAAGCAAGTATTTTTAATAAACTTCAACAAACATAACGTCAGAAATAGAAACACAGACAGGAATCCTTGAATATTCACAGCAGAAAAAAGAAG